ATAGGGAAGGGTGGAGGGCGTGAAGGGAGGGCTAGGAATGGGGAAAAAATAAGAACCAAGATGCATTATATAAAGGTCCAATTCCCAATGAGAAAAAACAAAAAAAAAGAATATGCCCTGGTTTCTTACTACTTACATCTTTTTTTCCCCCATTTCTTCCTGTGATTCCAGGGTCACCTAAGGTACTGGAGGTAGCAGGTAGAGTTTTAATCCCCTTTTATGTTAGTAAGACAGGGCCAATGGCTACATGTACTGCTGTCTTTTCTATATCCATGCATTTTCTTGCAAGTACTCTTTTTGATTTAAATTGCGGCAGGTGCCTGAGAGTGGATACTGGACTTCCTGCCGCTGGATTCATTTCCATTACACTTGGACGATAGTTGTAGACACTGCACCTGAAAACATAAAGAATAAAGATTAGAGTACAATTAAATATCCTGAGACTTTAAAACAGTATTTGTATACACTGACTTCCTGTCAAATGGGAGACTGTTTATGATATCCTTATAAAGGCAAAACTTTCTTTAGTTGTTGGCTTTTGCAAGCTAACCTTTGAATCAGGCACCATGCTTCTGATGTGACACTCTGATTGTTGCTGCCCCTAGAAATTCATGCAGTTGGGGGAAACTTGCACTAAAAATTGAAGCTTCTTTGCAAATCGCTTTGCTATATAAAGGGTCTTCTCAGTCTGGTTATAAAACATAGTGATGATACTTACTCTGAAAGAGCTCATATACGGCTGAAAAAAAATAACTCTGCATCATTCTCTGCACCAATTAGAAGCAATGTTAAGTCAAAACTAGGTTTTACATTTAGTGATGTAGCGTTAATCCGAAGAGCTCAGCATAGTTCACTCTGATAACGGTTCAATGTAGGTTAAAAATAATTCACTGATAATAAAGTTATATAATCACAGCTACATGATTATGTAAGATTACAAATAAAAGAGATTTCAATACTGAAATTGTAGCCAAATGAGAGAAAAACTCATCTGCCAAAAACAAAAAGGATTAAAAAATTATGTATTTTTCTGAAAATCATTTTTTTAGTTGCTGAAATTTTGTTACATTTAAAAAATCCTACATTGAATAAAAGGATAACAGTTTACCCCCCTCTGAAAAAGGTGAATAAAGGGACTTCTAAACTGCAGTAAAAATAAAATCCTGTATCATAGTAATTTTTCCTTTATCTGTAAAAATCTCCAGTTAAGCTACTTCAAAAGAAATTTCATGAGACCTCTGCCCTTGGCTTACAGAGATTTCAACTGAAAATGGTTGTCAGTGATCGTGGAGGAATTGTGGAGCCTGGAGATGTATCCAGAGACTGGATGAGGATCAGAAAACGTGCTGGTATTCAGAAAAGGGAAGAAGTTTACACTACTCAGACTGCACAGTGGAAAATTCTATATTGATACTGAAAAAAACTTTGGAATAGATTTTCATTATGAGCTGATAGAAAGGAAAGAGGCGATCATTTAAGTCACAGTGAGATGAATACTAGACCTCACTTCCTCTTGATAGAGCCGCTGAGCTGGCAGATTAAGCAACTCGTGATGTCTTAATGATTCTGCAGCTGGGTGGGAGGGCAGATATGTTGGAGCCCAAAATAGCTAGACAGGATGGAACAATGGGCCAAAAAATTCTAACAAGATAAAAAAGTAAAAGGGAGAGATAAAGACTGTCTTTAGTTCCAGAAAATTACCAACGTAAACACAGGAGGTAGGTGATTGCAAGTCCAACAGATAGACTGAAGCAGGACATATCCTATACTCAGGCACCTGGCTGAGGGCATGAAAGGGGCTGTGTCCACCCAAAGAGGGGATATCTACTTAATTTGCAAAAAAATACCATAAAGCACAAGGATATAGACATATATATGCGCGCACACACACACACACACACACACACACACACACACAGTTAGGGGCTTTAGTTAACTTTGAACTAATTGAGTTTCTATTGTAATGGTTCTCCAAGAGCTGGAGAGGGCATTTATCGAAAGGGCATACCCGGAGCAAGATGTTCATTATTTGGGTTCCAGCTGAGCTGGACGTACTGAGAGTGGAAAGAAAGAAAATGGTAAACTAGAAGTAAAAGTGAAAATCTGGAAACTATTATCTTGAGGAATGGTTAAAAAGAAGAGAGGCTGTTTATTCTGAAGAAGGGAAGATTTAAAATGGCCAAGATGCAGAGGAATGGGGAAAAAAATAAGTACTAAGATATATCATGTAAAGGTACAAATTCCCAATGGTGAATGTCATGCTATTGTATACCTAAATGTAAATGCACCAATAAACTTAAAGAGTTAAAAAAAAATGGCCAAGATGAATTCCCCACTGGAAAAACAAGGACACTGAAGTCCAAAAAGAAATTTAAAAATAGTTAGAATTTGACATTTGAAATTTAAAAGAGAAAACATCAAATTTTTATTACGAGGAAATTTAGAACTTTATTTTGTTTCCCTATTTTACAATTTGATAGTTTTAAATTTTGAAATACATAAATTATATATGCTTGAAAGGCAGGGAGCATCAAAATCTTTTTACAGCTTAGGGTTTCTAGATTCTTAAGATTGTACAAAGTTTAGAACCTTTGCTCAATTTGACTTGCCGCCAAATGGAACAGACAATGTTGTGGTGCAGTTTGGTTTTTTGTTGCTAGGATGACTTTGGCTGAGAGAAGGCACAGCTTTTTGGTAATTTGTGGTTTAGAGTGCAGGGCTGGGGCTTGGTGGAGTTCTCTTCACCTGCTGCGATTCTATGAATCTGAGAAAAGGCAATTTCCCTAAAGAAAGAGGAAAACTGCGATCACCAGAACTGTTGATCTTTCATTGCTCATTGATTTTTGAAAACTCTAGAAATGAAGAGAGATGCGCAAGAATCTGTTTAGTATTTTCTTTCTCCTTTTGAGTAATTTACTCATGGTCTCTTCTGAGTCCCCTTCTCAGGCCTAGACTGTCAATGGTTGAGTTTTGGGACATAATGTTGCAAAGTCTTAAGTTTGATCTTGGTGAGGGCTAGTTAGCTCTGAACAGTTTGAGTTCTATTCAAGCAAATTATCTTATAGATTTTTATGGTCTAAATTTTATTGAAAACTGCAACTGTCTCTACTGTATAAGCTCTGGATGGCAAGTAGGCAATGGAAGGTGGGTGGATGAATTCACATTTACCATTCCTGCTAGAAAAGCAGTACAAAGCCTTGTCCTCCATTATTTATCTCTTGGGTTACACAACATCTTGTGCTTATTTTCATCAGAATCATCCAGAGGTGACCATTCTTTTGATAGGGCATTGGGCTCATTTTGCAAAACTAATGATATGTATTTCCTGATACCACACAAAATAAAAATATATGCACTGAATGATTAAGAGATTTCTTCCAACTCAAAAAATAATACACAAATAATGAATTGTTTAATTATTGAATTTGATTTTCCTTGGTTAGATCCTTTCTTATTTCTTGCTGGGGAGAGAATACAACAGCTGATGAGATAACAACTAAAGGAATAGATAAAGCCACCCAGGGGCTGCCATGTCCCAGATGGATTCTTGCCTTCATTACTTACTTGGTTCTTAATTTCACTATGGCCTGTGCTGGGGATGTGGAGAGAAGAAAGTTTGTAAGGCAACCTGAATTGTGTAAGAGCCCTATCTTGAAGAAACAAAATAAAATATACAGCAAAAGCAGTCTAGAGGAACAAGAAAAATCACAGCAGGATACTGTGAAGATGTGCACAGATGAGAAAAGAGGCTTTTACACCTGGTTAGTGCTGATAATTTGTGTTACACTTCTTCACATGCAGAGTCAGGGCAAAGGTGGTGCGCTACAATCTGGGAATGCTGTTCTGTTCTGGTTTTGCATGAGTTTTAATCACAATCTCAATAAAAGGCCTGAGCTCCTTGGTGTTAGCCAAAGGTCAAGTGAAACAGAACTTCACAGAAGGGCTGACCTGGAATAAACTGGGCCATTGAAACCTGCTGCATCAGAGGAGCAAAGTCAAAGTTGGGGAGCCTTTGAGATGATGGACTGTTCCTCCAAAGTCAGAGCAGATTAGAAAATAGAATGGCAAGAGCAGGTGGGGTGATTTTTAGACACAACATTCTCTGCTGTTGATTGGTTCCATTCTTAGAATTAGCCAACTTTTATGAAAATTTGTGCCAAGCATATTAAATGTTACTGTGTAAGTGAGGTGAATCACTGGTATTTTGTACCTAAGGGACATGTTGTTAGATAATGTGAACCTTGAACCTCCATCTCTTAATCTAAGTAGAGCTTTACCGCTAGACCTACAATGCAGTTATATAACCTTGTTACTTAAGCCTGTTTATGTGTGGTTGTTTTGTTGTTCCAAACCATCACTCTGGTTACCTCCTTGACTTAAATGTTACATAGAACCCCGTGAGGAACACTGTTTTAGACTTTATATTCCAGCGCTGGTCAGTAACCTTTTTAGTCCTGGGTACAGTGTGATAATTATTGAGTGAAAAAAAAAAACAACTCCAGGAAATATTTGAGAAAAGAGAGAAAGATAGATAGATAGATAAATAGATAGATAGATAGATAGATAGAAACAGCAATGATAGAAGAAATATAGAGTAAGATGCAGCAGCTGTAGAAGTATGCTTAGTATTTCAATGGACTTCAGTACTTAAGATGAGAAAATGCCCATTAATTGCAAAGCAATTCTGGTGCTCTGGGATGTACTTGCTTGGAGATATTAGAGCACTCCAGAACTTCTTTGTCTACTGGGTGAAACATGTAAATTATTTCCATTTTGGTATATGATTATTATCTGTAAGGCTCAAAAGGTAAGCCAGATTTCTTTTACTTAAGGAAATAGTCTGCATCATTGGTGTATCTCTTTAGTTTTAAATGGTTCCTGAAACTCCTTCCAGGATCATGGATTAGGCTATGAAATCTTGGAGAAAATGTGTATTATGAGAAAATTTTACTTGGGATTTATGTTCCTGAGCAAGATGTCTGTAAGGGGCAAATATTAGAGCTTCTTTAGGTGGTTTAGGGAGAGGGTGTAAGTTAGAGACAAATATTGGAAATGCTTGAAAATGCAGTGTAGTGAATTAATTGCCAGGTTCCAATTTTATTCACAGTCTTTCTTTGTATCTAGACACAATAAACTCAGGTAAAGTCTAATGAAAGAAATGTTTAGTTCTTGGTTGAAAAGGCTCTGCAATTGAAGAAAGGAAAGATGAAATGATAAGCTTAGGATTGGAAAGAGCGATGGAACACATCATGTTCACATCTTGGACAAGGTCCCAGCCCCACAACTTTAGGTCCTTTCTGGGCAAAGAGGGGCAGGGCCATTTTGTCTGCATAGTGAGGAGAGAAGGGATAAAGCAGAGAGTGGCAGAGCTGGAGAAGACATAGGTTTCACTGAACTGCTCCAAGTCCCCTCCAGACCATGTCCTGTGATTGCTATTGCTGGTCAGAGCTAGAAGATTGTTAAACTACTGCACAGTTGAGTTTGGACAAAAGCAAAGATAGGATGTTTTTGTCTAAAAAAACCATTTTAAATATATAATTCTCAAATCTCTATTAAAAGCCAGTGAGTACATTGCTGTGGAATATCTTTTAAGTGTGATAGTACAGAGTGATATAAGGCTCTGCTTTTTACTGTTTGATGAGTTAACAGGGACAGGTGAAGTGGTGAATATGCAAGTTGTCCTTTATTTCTCCTCTTTCTTCTTGCCCATCAAGTGCCTGATCCGGCCATGCCCATGAGCATCTTACAATCATTTCCAGAGTCTCCCCTCTCCCCATCCCTACTCCCACTCCCTTACCAGTAATTCATATTCCCATCCCCTTGAGTGTGGACATCCATGCTACAAGATAGCCATTGGGTATTTGCCCTGTACATTACCCTATACTAAGTGGTTTTTAGAGTTAAAAAAGA